TAATAATTTAATAGAGTGGTGAAGCCAAATTGAATTAATTTAGTAGTTTAGCATATTATTAAAAATTACTTTATAACCACTATAAACATATTTGATGTCATATTTGGATAAATATTGACCAAATTTTACCATACGAAAAGCTCGATTTAATGACCATTTGGGGTCCAACCATCCAATAAAGCCCAATAAAGGACCTTTAGGCCCACATCTCAAGTGGAGAGGACTTATCCCACCCTCTTCACTCTATAAAGGGCTCGCCCTTTTTAAGCATCAAGTACTACCCTTTCCCCATAAAAAGCCATGTCAAAGCTCCCTTACTCTGGTGATGTAGAGTAAATCCAAAAAAGAAGCTGGTGGAAGTGTGTTCCAAAGCTTAAACTTTATTTCCTCTTCCTCTTATTCATTATGCTTAAGTTATGATGAGTGATTTCAATGATAAATCTAAGTAATAGGAGCCTAAGATAAACCATAGTTACTGAAGCATAGTTCTCTAAATGAAAGTGTGGAATTAAAGTATAGTTATCCATGTGAAGGTATGGTTACATTCAATTGATGTTGTTGTGTCTTAACATAAGTCTATGGGCATCAAAAAATGATACAATTGAAATAAGGCTAATTTTCATGCTATATCATAGTACTTTACTACAAATTTCTAAGAAATATGTATAATTCTAGGCATGACTAACTCTCAATGAAAGAAGAAAGTGAGATAGATTGAGATACAACCTTAAATGATGCAAAATGAAGAGAGACCTTCTTTCCAACTTGAGAATTAATGTGAGATAGATGGAGATAAATCTCTTGGAAAGCTCCCCATAGTAACATGAGATATCAAAATAGGTATAAAGTTTATGGGATATTGATTTCCCATGAGTGCAATCATGTTGATCTCTTTACAGACTAGGTTATTCTTTTTGGCTTACATGTCTCTCATAGGTTATAATGGTTTTGTTTGTGAGCTTCTAAAGATCCTAAAATAAAATAGAGATAATATGTTGGATTATATCAACTTAGCATATGGAAATGATCATTAGCATCCTCTATATCCTTAGAATCAATTGAAGACATATTTAGTTACATATTCATATAGCTTTGTAATTCATCATAGAGAGGGGATTGTGTGGCCTTAATAGATGGCTAGAATGAGTAAGATTTAGTGTACTTTAGTATGGCTTAATTTTGGGTAATCGCATGAAATTTGTGTTGACAGTTTCATCATGTTTACAATATATATATATATATATATATAAGGATATGACATCTATTATATTTAAATATACACATTATTATTCACCTGACTTCCACCTCCTCAGTGGTGACAACATATTCTCAAAATTTTTAAATCAATATGACCCATTGGTAAATTTTAGAATAATTATGAATTTCATCAATTAGTTCGAACCACATTATGTTTACATTAGCAACATTGTCATAACTAATAACCACACATATCTGTTTGACACCCTCACCAACCAATTTAATAAATTCCCAAGATAATTGTATTCATGTTTTTAACATAATCCATTAAGTCAAATGGATTTATTATACACCATCCACACTCTAAGTTTGAATAATTCAAAGTTTTGAGAATCAAAGTTACATCCCACTCAACTTGAAACTAAAGATGAGTGTATGTTCATCACACTACCCTCATATTAGCTTATTTGACCAATTATTTACACATATTAATTGAACATAATAGACTTCTCCAAATGACTTTAATCTTGAGTGACCACTTTAAAATTTGAATGTTCCAAAATCAATCATAATTTTTGAAATACCTGTGCGTGCATTATACTCTATGTTTAAATAAACTACCCGATGTGGGATTTAGAGAAAGGTTAATATAATAATTTCTCTCTTACAATGCAAGGATTATTTTAGAGACCAAAATTATTGATTTATTAGGCATAGTGATGGAAATTAACTTCTCCATAACTTAACAAACATGAGCAACACACTCGCACATAAACTCATTCTCTCCTTTGAAAAGCAATGATGAATTTTCTTCATAAAAATCTAACATAATACATATTACTAAATAAAAATCAAGAATGATTCTATTTAAGCAATGTTGGCATACAAATATGACACAACTAAATATATGTAATTTCTAATAGAATTATGAGCATTTTACAAATAAGTTATGTTCATTGAATTTAACAAAAATATAATTTATCAATCTAGCATCAAACTAGCTAGCCAATAGATAGATAGATTTAGCAAGGTTTAGTATCATTTATATGAGCTTAGTTTTGGGTTAATCATCAATATAAGAATATGATAACTCTTGTATTTAAATATAAAAATTACTATTATGTAATTTTTGCCCTCCTTAAAGGTGATAACAAAATTCTCTTAATTGTAATGACCATATATGATAATTTAGCATATGCACCAACAAGTTTTATTAATGCCTAAGATACTATTGATGTAGCACATTAAGAGTATCATGATAATTAAGCTAAAAGCTTAATTACTTACAAGAGTTGACTAATGCTCAATGAAAATATCAAAGAAACTATTCAACTATAAGAGCTCAATAAATTGCTTATAATTTAAAATATATTTTTATATAATTTAGATTATATTTATTTTACATTTTTATTTTCCAAAAAGTGACTTTTATGATCAACTGTGACATATTTTTGAATGGGAAAAATATCAAAAAATAGTTGGGTTCACTTATAGCCACCTACCCATCTTTTCTCTCCCTTGTTTTCCTTCCAAATATGGTAGTTTAAGAGCCATGTAATGACAATAAATTTGGGAAATTATGCATTATAATTTTTAGCTATGAATGAAGTATTTTAGCCGAAAAAAGTATCTCTCCATTATATGTGGTGCTTCATACATTTAGTTTTTTTTTTTTTTTTTTTTGAGAAAGGTAGTTAGCCATTTTTTGTGTTGTTCTCTATGTTTAAGGAGCCTGTTTAATATTTGGTGAGGAAAATAAATATTTCTAAGCTTGAAGAATGCATAAAACCACATCAACTTTATGGAAGAAGGTATTGCGCCTGATACATAAAGAACCATAAATTCTTAAGGTTAGTTCATAACATTATTCTAAGAAATAAACCAATCTTTTAATATTTTCCCAATCACCCTCAAGAGAGACCCAATCCCATCATCTTCTTTCTTCAATTTACCCCTAAAATTGGGATCCAGCCCTACATACCTCTTAAAAGTACTTTCAAATTCTATGTGTCACATAACAAGCTCTTACCCTTAATTTTTTCTATTTCAATGCATTCTTTAAATTTTTTAAGCCTGACTGATGATTTTTTTATGTATCTCATCACTACCCTTACACAATGAATTGGTTGAACAACCTTCTTATTTTATTTCACATAATTAAATTTACAGTATGAGCAATGCACCTCATATGCAAGACCTTACCATCAAGAATACTAGTTCCACCTCTTTTAGCAAATTTCTATTGTAAATGACTAACGATACCATTATTATAGCTTCTATTATCACCATAAAGATTATATCAATAACCTAACTATGATATATTTTTCTACCATAGCCACATTTATCAACTTTTTCTCCTTCAATAGATGTGCACTTGCTAAGAAAATCACAAACTTCATATTTAGGCCTTATTGGCTTAAATATATGGGTTTAAGAATTAAGAGTCACATTTATCAAAATTTTCTCCTTCAATAGATATGCACTTGATAAGAAAATCACAAACTTCATATTTAGACTTTATTGGCTTTTTTTTTTTTTCCTTTCTTTGTAGTAGGTGGTTTAAGAGTCAAATTACCTATGATATTGAATTTTATAGTGGAGTTTGGGTTTTGTGCATAACTAGTTGTATTATAGCTTTCACCACTATGTAACATCTAAACTCAAGACAATAAAATATGCATAATCAACTAGCTGTTGTAAAACTACATAAATAAGCTATAATATTTGAATTGCTTGCAAACATTAACATTATAAACAACTATTATTTTCAAATGAGAAACAACCAACTTATAAGTTGTAATTGATCAAACTTCATTGGATAAGTAATCAACATCATAGTTTAAAAATGGTTAAAATGTAATTGACTAAACTTTATTGGATTCAAAATGATTAGATATTGAGATGTTTGCAAAAAATATTGGAATTGAACTGTAATAGGAATTTAAGGATAATCTCAACTAGGGGAGGATCAAAGGAGAGCATAACTCGAGCAAGTATGGTTTTGACGACTTTAAGTTGTTTGAATACACCAGGCGGAGGAAAGACAGAAGGAAAAATTGAGATTGTTTAGGAATTTTAGCGTATGGCTACATCTACATTTATAAGGCATTGAGTGCAAATATGACATGTATCTTTGATGTTTTACCTAATCCGATGTCATTCACTGTATCCACACACTAGTTGTGTGAATGTTTTCTTAGGTCTCAATTTGCCTACCATTGGCCCATCATCGACACCGGATCATCCAAAGGCGAATCAAAATGCGTCACGTTACTTAATACACAACAAATATGTGAGGTTACGCATTCTGATTTGCCTCTGAACAGCATCCATATCCACATAAAATAATTTCACCTCATCCACACTTTACAAATAATTGTGTGAAATAGCAATGCAAGTTTTGCCATCAGGCCCTCACACATTGCTCATGTGCCCTAATTTGCCTAAGCGAGAAGTAGAGAATAGCCGAAGACGTAACAACGAATGCGAAAAGACCGCATTGCTTTTATTGCTTTAAGTATTGCATATTTATATAATTTAATTATTTAATTCATTTTTTTTATTTTATCAAAAATTTTGAATCATCAAGGGATCCCATGATAAAAAAATCAAATATTTTAATACTTAGAATAAATATTCGATCCTCAAACTTAAAAACCAAATCTAATCATCCTAGAAATTTAATTTCCAATTATAATTTAAAACTAAATAATGCACAGCCTTTTCGATATTTTCCATATATATATATATTAGCGGATCTTAACCGCACAATACCCAGCATCCGATGGCCGCGATCGAAATAGAAAACCCTAGCTCCCAAAAACGAACTATAAAATAATTCAGGCGTTCCGACTGAGTTTCTCTTCCTCTCAGTCTTCTTCTGACCCGTCGGAGAGGTGAAATCGAGGGGAGAAAAAAATGTCGGATGAGGAGCAACACTTCGAGTCCAAGGCCGATGCGGGTGCCTCGAAGACGTACCCACAGCAAGCCGGCACCATTCGGAAGAATGGGTACATAGTCATCAAGGCCAGACCATGCAAGGTAATCTAAATCTTCCATCACGAGTTTTCTTTTTAGGGTTTGCACGTCCTTCCTTTTTGCGGTTGATAGGCAATCTGATCCTTTATATGGGGTCTGGAGAGGGATTGTTGTGGTTTTTAGCGGATGATTTTATTTGATCTTCTTCATTTTTTAAGGAGACTTTTGTTTTGTTGAAGCGTTTTAATTTGTTAAGTTAAGTAAATCCTGATTTACTAATCTTGATGGGATTACAGCCTGAAGACTGTTTGGCATCACAATTTATTTCTTGCTAAGTTCTAATAAACAGTTTGGTTATTTTTTTCAAGATTTACGGTTTATGGTATGGAGAAATCTTAAAATCATTTGAGTAGTGGGATTTAACCAAATTTGTATTTTTTTTTTTAGATTTTTGAGATGTTTGACTCTTTTGGGATTTGCAAAATTTTAAAAATCAGAAGATTTGTGAGCTTTTTGAGTTTTGTTTGGCATACTAATGGTAAGTGCTTAAACTTTGAACTGTTAATTTTGTTGGTTATGTATTCATAAATGTTTATTTGTTTGTTATAGAAATTAAAGGTTTGTATTAGAAATCATTTGTCTTCTAAGAGTATAACTATTTTTTGAAATTTTAAAACTTGTTTTTGGGTTTAACTAATTTTTTTATCCAATGTCATTTGGAAAATTAATATAATTTGCAACAAATATGCAAGACTTGTTTGAGTATTTGGGAGACCATAGGATTAACATATCTCATTATTTGTTGATTGATGCATAGATTTAAATTATTTAATTGATGTACATTAGTTATTATGAAAAAATGTTATTTAAATTGATTTTTTACAATTATAGACAAATAAGGATGAAGTTTCATATGTATGTTTTTTTTAAATAGAGATAAAAGGAATACTATTGAGATTTATAATAATAGTACGGAAGCTTGAAGTGTTGTAGACAGCAACATGCAACATGCAAAGCAAAAAATTTATAAATTTTGGGATAATAGGCTAGGTATTTAAGGAGAAGAATGAAGATATGTAAAATATTGAAGCAACTAATAAGTTCAAGTTTTAGATGTGACACCTAATGAGATTTGGAGAGTATTAGGGGATAATTAAGTTGTTTTAACAACAAATATTTTTAAATAAAATTTGAAGATCAAGTTTGTCAAAAATCGTGATAGTAGCATTTTGGAATTGATATATTAAAAATAAATGATAGGTTTATGAGGGAAATAATCTTATGAGTTAGATAATGCAATCATAAGAGTTATTTAACAGGAACTTTAAAATTATGTTAGTTTTAAATATATTTCATGCCTCTGTATAACAACTCTTAAGAAATTTAAAACTAAACTTAATTTACACAGTAGCCAATCATTCTCGATTTTTTTTAGTTTTTAAACATATCATTGAAAATTATTGACAAGAATGGTCGCTTAAAGTGGGATATAAGTTTTCAGGAGAACTATGCGATAATATTACATAATAGTTTCAAAGTAAATTATATAACTTTGTATTTAGGTTGTTTATGTCATATAGATTGGAGTGTTTGGCAATATGAAGTGACTAATCACCCAATTGAGTATGATGGAAATTCGAGTGTCAAGGTGAATATGTGGCAAATGTTTGCAAAACAGATTGAAAAAGGATTATATTTGAGTATTATGCGAGTATAATTTATTGAAGTTTAGGTACTAGGAAATATACTCATATGACTTGGGCATGCATAATGAAGGGTAGAATATACACTAATGAGGTTAGTAGATAAATTTCTCTGGAAGAATTTAGAAGCAAAATGGTACATTGGAGGTAACTTGGTACATTATGCAAAATATTTGCTCAAGATTGGGTTAATTCATGTAATACTCACAATAAAAGATGGAGAATGAGGATTCATAAAACCAAACCTTGGGTAGTTGGGATGAGGCTAGTAATGACAAATAAGTGTTGAAAATGTCATTTTGAGGTAAAGTTCCTATTAAGTTCAAAACTCTTATTATAATTCAAAAAAGTGAACCCTAAAGAGTTGGGGAAATACACTTGGGTGGTTTGGGCACTTCATTGTTTATAGGTGCATAGGTATTGACATGAGATTTTTCTTATTTAAACTTTGCCAATTCCATGATGGTTTTGCCATTGTAAGGTGATGGTAAATGGAGGGATTTATTATTTTATGGTCAACTAGAATTTGAATTGAGCCACAATTGTTATTATTATTATTTATTTTAGATAAGTCTGAACAATGTTAATTGTTGTGTGAAGGAGCCATTTAATTGTGAAAGAGGGGATATTTCGCTTAGTTGCTGCAAAGTTTGGGATTTGAGAGTGATCCTCAATAGTAGACTTGGATCGATCCAACATAGATTGTTTGGATCATTTAAGCTTAAGTTGACCATGGGTTAGGCCCAAGTTAATTATGAAAATGCAGTTTTATTGGAACCCACAACTTCATGCTAAGAAAGGAAATTAGGATCCCATAGATTCATGGCATAAGAAAATCTGATTGTATATATTTAAAGTAGGAATGATGCTTTTTTGTTATAGTCTAGTTTCTAATTTTTTGAGATTATTTCATATATTGGCATGGATTAAATACTTTGAATAAGAAGTATTTTTAATATTCTCCATGATGTGTTAGAGCTCTATGTCCTTAGGCTGCTGATTCTATCGTGGGAGTGATCGTTGTTTGGGCTTACTCAACCTTCATTGTGGATCTCCTATCTCTGCTTGGTGATCTTTGCATGTTGTTGTCTTTGATTACCATCTCATCGATCTCATTGATTTCATTGATTTCTGCTTGGAGATTCATAATTTTTTTTTCTTTTGGTCTTTATCATGCGACATTGCGACTTCTAGTATTTGCTTGTCATGCAACATAAGCTCATCATTTGTATTAGAGCTCAATGAAGGCACCCTTGACACCTACAATGATAGTTTCAAAAAGACCATGTCTTCTGCATATGCCAGGGCATATATTTCTTACACATTCTGATCCCCTCTGCGATGATGATGACAACTATTTATCCTCTCTATGTAGACGCAGTTGCTTGCATCTGCTAGGGTACATCTTTCTCTTGTTTTGATGTAGCTTTCATCATTGAGTGTATTTTCTCTTAATAGCCATGATTGTTATAAGAGCATCCTTTACTAAAATCTTTAAATCTTCATTAGTGTTATTATTTCTTTAATCTTCCCTAGCGATGATCTCCTATAGAGGTCTTGACCTTACGTTGTGGCTCTTAATTGATGTTGATTTCTCTCATCGACTATTTGCTCCACCTTTAGTTTTCAAAAAACACAAAACTGCTACCACAACACTCATTGGAGTTGTAGTCATTCATTGACTTCCATTGTCGAATCCTCCTTTCTAAAAAAAAGTTATAGCAGTATTGGAAACTCCACAAACATGACATTGATTCAATTTATAACTGCTATTAAGGTTCTTGAGAAACCTTCTAGTATTAATTCATTATCGCATTCAAGTGAATTTCCTGTCTTCACTGGATTACATGTTTCAAATGAAACATTTATCAACCACTGATGATCATATGACCCCCTCATCATTGGATTTTAACGTACACACACATTTTCTAAGCATTAGGAAAATTAACACAACTGATGACCCTTTTACTATTGTAACTGATGTAAGAATTGTTCAGATTTAATCTTTTATTTATGTTAAAAAATATTTAACATGTTCCAAAACTATCCACTAGTCATATTTCAATATACAAATTTGCTCAAAATTTGTATTGCAATGCCATTTTTTATGTTACCTTGGTGTATGCTTTTTGCTAATGGTATTCTTCTTGTTGATAAGACTAGAGAGGGAGTTGAAGGAAAACTTGAATTATGGAGGTCAACCTTAAGGTCTAAAGGTTTTTGTTTTGTAGATCTAAAATTGAAAACATGGAGTGTAATTTTAGTAGTAATTGATCTAGTGAGAGATTGAGACTTTGGGCGATCAAGTCATCAAAAATAGTATTGATGTGATACAAATAGGAATTGCAAGGAATTGATAAAAATATTGTAAAGCTTGCCACTTTAAGGTTATTGAACCACAAGAATTAACTTTAAGAATTTTCATTTAAAGTTTGCTTTGGCTGCAATTACAAGTTAGGAGACAAAACAACTAAAATAATATCAAAATTGCATTAAAACTAGTTATGCCGTAATAAGAATCCACGGGTTAATATTTAGAAATTCTGTTTGAGTTTGGTTCTTCCCATTTTTCATAATATGGTGCAGAACCAATTTGATTTTAAAATCAAATCGTTTAAGTCAGATATGTGAATTGTTTTATCTAGGACTTGACCCCGTACATCCTAAAGTAAGGCATTATTCTTGAGTCATAAAATTTGAACATTCCACAACATGGAGTTATTGAAATTTGAAAGGAAAAAAAGTGGTCATTCGCCCTAATACAAACTGAGTATATTCATTACAATATAATGCACTTAAATGTTATGTTTGAAATGTTTGTTCTGACAACCACACCCCTTTTATTTAGGTTACTCATTTAGTAATCTTAGATCACAAGAGTCATATGGAAATGTTGTCAAAATTCAATCATAATCTAAGAACTTTAAATCATCTGATGCCTAAGATTTTTTTTTGGGTTGTATTGTTGGTTCATGGTCTAAATAGGTGAAAAACTTGATGAAAGGGCTATCAAATGTTTTGTTCTGGCTATTGAACTCAAAAAAGATATTTGTGATGTTGTTGGCTAATTGAGAGATTTTATACTTCCATTTATATCGTCTTTATAAAATATAATCCTATTTTCTACTTTTTGTAGGGCAGAATCATGTCATGTAAGAAGACGTTATTAATTATTTCACTCTAATTTATCTTCTTTCATCAGCAGAATCCATGCTTTTCAAGTTTGAAGTTCTTGTCTCTCATCCTATACACATGCCTCTTATGGAATATCATAAACATGTCCCCGCATCTCCTTTGTCTCTTGTTGAAAGGTTTCTTCAATTTTGGAAAGTGTACTCAAGAGAAAAGTTTATGTTCCTG